GAATTACGTAGGAATTTTCCGCAAAGTTTTGTTTTTCACTGCACTCTTCTCCACAGTAATCCCTCAAAATTCATCTAACAATTTCTAAGGATTTCATGTCAGAATAATTCTGGAATTCTGCTCAGAACTTCCCCTTCGAAAACTGTTTGGGAATCCTTCTCAATATTTGTTTGAAATCAATACTGAAATTTTTAAATTTTACTAAAAATTCCAGGGTTTGTCCGCTAGATTCTATAGATTGTTCTGTTATTTGTTATAACTCTTAAAATGCTTCCAAGTCTCAGAGCGCGACAATTATGACTCCACAACTCATAAGTATGATTTTTTTTTCCTCAAATCTGTCATCTTGAATCTTTCGTTACATTCACATTTTAATTATTTTTTCTCCTAATCTAGCATCACGAAGATTGTTATTAATCACAAATTAAAAAAAAAACGTTCTAGTTTCAGACTCAGATTTTAAAACCACAGAATCTTGGGAATCTTCTTAAATCAATTTTTTATCCTTTCAGTAAATTCCTTTCAGCACGTTCTTAATTATGCGTTCAATTTCGTTTTTCTGTTGAATATAACCAATCGGGAATTTTTTAAGATTTGAACCGGGAAAAAACCGGGAATTTCAAAATGAAAATGACTCACTAGACGGCGCTAAGACGAAAATGATCAAGTTGTGCCTTCTTAAATACAGATTATATACGATATCTACAGATCCTGCAAAGTTGATGGGACGGGCAAGACCTATCCTTAGGTAAAGATTTTAGTCCAGAATGCACTCTCGCTAGTGTGACATTCATATAACCTAACATATTTACTAGATAGAAGGTTCCCGTCTTCGGTGAAGTTGTTCAGATGAATATGACATATCCTAAGATAATGAGTTTGGTTCATTCACACATCAGGTGGCGCTAGTGTGAGAATCATTTTGAACTGTTTGCCCTTACTTAACATCTTGACTAGAAGGTTCCCGTTTTTGGCAAAACATTTAGATGAACATTACCTATTTTATGGTAAAGAGTTCAGCTCAGAATTAACTCACCAGACGGCGTTAGGTGACATCAATTTTTCTTTGTTTGCCCTAACTTAACATCTTGACTAGATAGAAGGCTCCCGTCTTCGGCAAAGTTGTTCAACTCTTTACCATAAGATAGGTATTGTCCATCTGCACACCTTTACCGAAGACAGAAACCTTCTATCTAGTCCATATGTTAAGTTAGGGCAAAGAATGCAAATTTAATGTCACATTAGTGCCAATTGGTGAGTTCGTTTTGAGCTAAACTCTTTACCATAAAATAGTTCTTGTTTATCTGAAAAACTTTGCGAAAGACAGGAACCTTCTATCTACTCAAGAGTTTAATTAAGGGCTAACAATTCAAAATAAATATATCACACTAGCGCAACCTGATGTGTGGATTCTGAAATAAACTCACTACCGTAGGTCTTGTCCATCTGAACAACTTTACCCAAGACTTTAACCTTCTATCTAGTACATATATTAGGTTAGGCAAACAATTCAATATGAATGTCACATTATCGCTGCCTTGTGAGGGAATTCTGAACTGAACTCTTTACCATACCATAGGTCTTGTTCATGTGAAAAACCGAAGTCGAGAACCTTCTATCTAGTGAAGATGTTAAGTCTGGTAAAACAATTCAAAATGAATGCCACACTAGCGCCGCCTGATGTGTGAACTCTGAACTAAATTCTTTACCTTAGGATAGATCTTGTCCATCTAAACAGCTTCTCCGAAGACGGGAGCTTTCTATCTAGTACATATGTCAGGTTAGGGCACACAATTCAAAATTAAAATGTCACACTAGCGAACTACACTCTTTACCTTACGATCTGACCATCTGAACAACTTTACTGAAGATGGAAACCTTCTATCTAGTCAAGATTTTAAGTTAGGGCCAACAATTCAAAATGAATGTCACACTAGCGCTGCCTGGAGAGTGAGTTCTGAACGAAACTCTTTACCTCAGGACAGGTATTGTCCATCTGAACAGCTTTGCTCAAGACGGAAACCATCCATATAAGCAGGATCTGTAAATATCAGTGGCGTCGTGTAACCTCACTTTTAACCTGTGCACCAACTTTCAAAACCAGATTTATTGCCATATTCATACTCGAATCGGTTGAAAAATACTCTTAATCTTCTAGTTTACTCGAAATCTATCCATTGGAAGCAATATTTTAATTATTGTGTATGTCTTGAGAGTTGGTGCACAGGTAGATTGAGGTTAAGGCGACGTCACTGGTAAATATCGTTATATAGTGTGTATTTAGAAGACGTTACTTGATCATTTTCGTTTTAGAGCCATCTAGAGAGTAAATTTTGTCATTAACTATCCATAGTTTTGAAAACCTTGTATTTCTGAACATCACAGAGGAAGGGTTATGAACACTTGCGATACATTTTTCATGTATCATGAAATCCGCTTATAATAGTAAACAGTTCTTTAGATTAATCATGTTGGCATTAATGTAAACCAGTTTTGATAGTAAATTTTAAGGTTTATATTTATTAGTGTTCTTTTCACATGAATATTGATATTTATAGACATATCAATATACATATTGATAATTATCGCTAAATTCTCCTTAAACTTAACAGAAAATTCTCTTGAAAGTCTTCATAATAACCTTGGAATTCTGTTTATAATTCCCATGAAATTCACCTAAGCATTTTCTTAGAATCCTCCTTGAAATACCTTTGCAACTTTTGTGAGAATTAAATTCTTTTGAAATTCTCTTCAAAATTTTCTTTGAGCTCGAAATTCCAATCAGAAATCCTTCGAAATTCTCCTCCGCAATCCGTTCGAATTCTCTACCAAATTTTCTTTGTACTTTTCTAAAGAATTTGTTTAAAAAAGATCCTCCATTTTTTTTGGGAATCAACCTCAGAATACGATGCCTTCGATATTTTTTTTTTTTTCGGAATTCCCTTAAATGTCTTTTCTGAACCTTCCCAGTATTCCTTTGAAATTATCCTCAGAATAGCTTTTAAATTCTCAGTAAAGGCCTCATAGCCTTGTCAGTAAAGGCACGGTATTACCAAGCCGGAGGCGGCTGGTTCGTTTTCCGGTCCGGTCAAGGGAATCTTTCGGGTTGGAAATTTTCTCGACTTCCCTGGGCATAGAGTATCATTGTCAATTCATGCATTGGTATTGGCATCGAAAGCTCTCAATTAATAACGGAAGTGCATTTAGAACACTAAGTTGAGAACACGCAATAAGCAAATATGCACTAAGCAATAAGCAATTAAAAGCAAATAAGAATAAGACCGTTTAAATTCTGCTTATAATTCTTGTTGAACTCTCATCTGAGTTCTCTTGGAATTCTCCTTAAATAACTGCTGCTATTTTGCTCACGATTTCCAACGAATTCTGCTCAGAATCACTTACGAATTCAATTCAGAACTTCCTTTATTTTATACAGAAATTCCTTGGAATTCATCTCAGAATTTCTTAGGACATTATCTCAAAATAATCGTGGAATGTCAAATCTCCCTATGAACTTTTCGTATATTTATTCAGAAATCCTCTTCAGCATTTCTTTGGAATAAACACTTTAATTCCATTTAAATCCTCCCCTAAGTTCCACAGGGATTCTCGGCAGGATTCTATTAATATAATGTCAGAACCCTGCATATTTTTTTTAAATCCCAAAGCCTTGTACTTTTTTTCAGGGCATAATCTGTGATATTGGTAATTTTTTTTTTTGTAAATCTCGCATTTTGAGTCTTTTGAGATTTTTCTCAGTCCCTAATTGATGAAATCATTTCCATTTTTGTTTGTTTTATCTAAATCTAGGATCACGAAGATTTTTTCACAAATCTCAAAAAATGTCTAAGACTTCAAACAAAAGTTAAAACTTCACAATCATATTTTTAAAATTCCAACACGTGTAGGATTTCTACAGACTACGGAGCGTTATTTTCACCGGGTTGTCGTCAGACATTCGAACAACGTGCCTAGCACATCGTAGTCGCCTAATTTTTGCCGGTGGTATTTCCAGTAGCATTCACCGGCTAAAGAAAACGTCTACTTCCTCTTGCACAAAAGAAGGCAAAATATTAGGAAAGACCCATCAACGATTTTCTGCTCAATAAACACAAAAAGGTAGTTACTAGGACACTGAGCTCCCAAACCAACAACAATCCATTGCGAAAGACAATCGTTCAAGGAATTGATTCCAGTGGAATCGATTTGTTTAATCATATGGTCGTGATTGAAAACAGAACACGAAATACCCCTGCCATGTGAAGGCGTATGAGCCTGAACCCGCGATCTTCGGTTCCAGTAAGCAAAAATGGATAGCCAATAGGCCACCGAGCCCTTCATAACACTAAAAGTTGCTTCAACCGTGTCGATTTCACCGTTCAAATCCGGTGACGACGACGACCCTTATAGCACGCTTATCACTAATGTTTTAGGCAATGAATTTTTTTTCTACTAATGAATTTGCCACCACTTCAGTTTAATACCACCCGATTATTTAATAATTCCCCAGAATCAACTTTCCCCTCATTTTGTTTTTATTGACTCACCCTAATCGCAATTACTCTGCACTAGTTCCTGCTTCTCACCGAGTAGGTAGTGAGTGAAACCAGAGAGAATGAGATTCTCTCAACCCACCAGCGGCGCACATTGTGACGTCTGCCTGCTTTGCTGCGATGCGACGATGGAATGGAGACGCACGGTGCAGGATTGCGGAGAAGCGAGGGTATGTGTAGGTAGGTATGTACACATGGATGGTAGTGGTCGACAGACAGACGGATGGCGGTGTAAATTTCGACTTCAAAGTGATCCTATCTCGGGATGCCAGTTTAGTATTGAAGCTTCATCTGATCGTACTGACTTGGCTTGTCTTGACTGCACCGAAAAGTAGTTGTTGAGAGAGGGTACTTTCGTTTGAATTTGAAACCTGATTCGATAACCAGAAGACGGCGGAAATTCAATACCAATCTTCCGTTTGTGCAACAGGTTTTGCTGTTTTCGAAGGAAAATAATAGGCAGAGTGTGAAGGTGAAGTGCGGAAAATTCGCGAGTTTCGTGATTAAGCTGCGATTCCGGTTAGTTGGCTAGTGAGGGTGCGTTCAACTTGTAGGATAATGCTCCTGAGAACTAAGTGCAAGCTTAAATCAAGTGATTCAATGAAACGGTAGTAACGGAAAAGTTTTTCAATCTGGAAGTAGGAAACCGAATTTGGTTTCCCAGTGCTTTCGAATATAAAGCAGCGTGAAAGTTGATCATCACCATCATCCTTGAAAGAGTGGGAACGAGTCCCAAGGCACCAGCAGCATCAGCAGCAACAGCAGCGGTTGGCTTTCAAGTGTGCGAATTCTTGCTTGCCACCACTCACTCTAGTTTACATGACTGACTGTACGGGACAGCAAGGTCCCCCCAAAGTCAACTACAACGTCGTCGTCGTCGCCACCGTCGTCATCTTCGTGTTCGTCTCAGCCTCTGGCTTGGGCAAAGCGGTGGTCGAATTTTCAACTGCGGACAGAGTCGGATATCGACGCCAGCAGCATCAGCAGCATCTACTGCAACCATCCGCACTGCAATCGAGTGCATTCTTCAAGGAGAGCGTAACATGAGCGCGAAGTGGAGAAAGTGAGATACTCGCAGCAATTTGTTGGTGAATTGGAAGTTTGTGTCTGTGTTTATAACGTTAACGGAAGCTGAGCTTCTCCGTTGTTTTTACTTAAGTGGAAGTGATTGACTAAAGCGCAAAGCGCCAGGAAAATAGTGGCCGCAGAAAGAGTTACACCTGTGATAAAAAGAAGAAGGAGAAGTGGGTCGTATTCTGGTTCGTGTGAGGAGGAAACTAGGTCACCTGGAACGGCAAACAATTCCCGATCTCTGAACGCCAGTGTTGATCAGGTACGTCATCAACGACAACGACGGCGAGCAATTGCAGCTGGATGCATCTAGCATAAGTAGTTCTAGTTGGGGATCAAATTTGCAAGTCTAAACAGCAGAGCTTCAGTAACGAACGACGCCATTATCTAGCTTCCGTGGGATTGATGCATACCTACGGCGAAATTTCGAACAATTAGTAATCGAACTTTACACCCCCCCCCCCCCTCCCTCACTCTATCTCGCTTCGGGAAGGTTCGCAAATTCCGTCTCAATTTGTTATCGGAGTAATTAAATTGGCAGCTGATAAGCGACGACAGGGACGAAAGACTACACTCAACTCAGTGAGTGTGAGTGCGCGGGAATGCACCACTTAATGGATGTTTTGTTGCGATAAAAGCGATTGTTTTGATTGTGTTTCGTGTTCAGTGGAAGTACTTGTTGGAACAACACGTTTTACTACACAATTGATGGCGTGTGTGAGTGTGAGGTTTCGATGGAAATTAGTAACCTGCTTCCTGCTGCAGCAGGTGTTTGTTATTAATTTTAGAAAATCGCACGTACTGCACACGCTATGGAATAGTTGTTATATTTGCTTACCTTGTAGGGTTGTTGTTGTTGTTGTTGGCGGGCAGGGTGATTGAATCAATTGCTTTCGGGAATCAATCTCCTGCGTGCAATTAAAAGAGGTGATCTAGTTGTGACAAGTGCTATGCGGCTCCTCTTCAATACCACGAAAGGCAGACAATTTCCGCTATCACATACAATAAATAACCCAAGGAAGCACATTTCAGTGCCAACATTACAAAAGGGCGAAACCTAATTTGTAAACAATGGCTTTCGGCATCGATTTCTCGCGAATAAAAGCTCACACATTCAAATTCACAACAGCATCAGTCAGAGAAACATCGTTAATTTGCAGGAGTGAGTTGTTGTTGAATTAATTGTTTACAAAAGCAGTTTCGCCGGAATGAAATGTTGGCAGTGATTTGTTTCAAATTTTCGTTGCTGTGTGATCGTTTGATTGGTATGCCTCTGCTGCGATGTGTTTCATTTTCAAATTTCTGTTGACATCGGCTTATGATAATCGATCGTCGATGGAGCTCAGCATTATAGTCCCAGTTGTGAGGCCACCAATCACGAATTTTATGTCACATCGTTTTTATTTGCTGAAAAAGAACGCTAGCAGAAAGGTCTGACTGCATTAGAAAAAAAAAATAAACAAATTTGTCATTACTGATAGCACACTCACATAAACTCGTTATCTATCAGTTCTTTAAAAAAAAAAGAATATAATATATTAAAGTACGGCAAGGAACCTTCTCAAGAATTTCAAGATTTTTTGTTTAAATACGACCAACCTTATCTTTACTCTTTAAATATAATAATTCTAGAGTGGATTTATATTAAGTGACAACATACATTCTGAAACTCGAATTGTTTTTTAAGATTCATAATTTTCTTGAACCCTGGATCTAATAAAATCAGACTGGGAGTAATTTTCATGAATCTGTACTGAACATAAATATTGAAGACGACATTGAATGTTTTCCAAGAAACCAGATCAAAAAACAAAACAAAAATAAGGACCTTGCAAAAGTTTCTCAGCTTATGGACTTTAATGAATGAATTTGTTGAGAATTTCCAACTAACCAACTTTCTTCAACTTTATTATTGAGATTTTTAGCCAGTTCATCTTATACTCTAGGGGTAATTTCAAGGGAATTCAGAGGAAAATTTCATGGGTCAAATTGTTAGGAACACTTTAGGTGAAGTCTGTGGTTTCCTTTCAAGTTAGATCTGTTAAACTTCCAAGGTTGTTCTAAGTATAATCCTAAGGGAATCCTAAATATGATTCAAAAGGAAATGTCCAACAGAATTCTTGGGAAGATTCCAAGGTATTGCCAAAGAGAATACCTAGAGAATTCTAACTAAGAAATTTGTAAGGAGAACTTCTTGGTACTTGTGAGTAGAATTCCTAGAGGTGAAGGAGAATCCAAAGGGAATTCTGAATAGAATGAAATGAAAAGTTTGAGGGAAGTATTCCAACGGAATTATGTGGAAAGTTTCAAATAAATTTCCAACAAAGTTTTGACATAAATTTCAAAGCAATAATCTGAAGGAATTCAAGGTTGTTCCTGTAATAATTTTAGGAGAAATCAAAGAAGAGTTGTTAGGGAAAACTGTGGAGCATTTCAAGCAAAGATTTAACGGGATTGATCTTAGAGAATTCGGAGTGGAATGCAAAAGGAATTCCGAGGTTAATTCTATGGGAATTTCAGGAGATACTTATGGTGGTAAGCTTCAACCGGTATTATCCTCGGATTAAATCCCGATCAAGAATGTCCGGCTGGTTTAATGTTGACATCAGAATTAATCATCACGACTCTAAAGCAAACATTTTGCAGATCATACAAACAGGGACGGTATTAAACGTTAATCCGAGTTGGAGCTTGCCGCCATCAGTGAATACTGAGGAGAGTTTATTTCAGGAAAATGCTTATGAAATTCCTACGTAATTCCGTGAAATATAGTGTAAACCAAAGAAGATTCCGGAGATCATTACTAGAGTATTTTGGAGCAAATTGCTAGGGACAGTTTTAGGACGAATTCTGATGAAATTTTTAAAAGTTTCTAAGTTTGTTTAGTTAGAGTTAAGTTTAAAATATTTCAAAATTCTAAGAAATGTTTTATTTGGTATTTTATGCTTGAAAAAATTCTCTTGATTCTGGATTTAGTAAAAATAAAATCAATCCATAAAGGGAGTTGTTTTTGCTGACATTCAGTGCTTATACAATCTGAATCCTCAGACCAATATTCCGCGCTTGGAAACGTTTCCAAAATTCTGGACCATAAGAAGCTTTCAAAATTCAAAACTAACAGAAACATTCGAATAGCACATTTTTTTAGCGAATGTCAAATAAATGTTTCATTGATATTCTCCTGGAAAATCAGGGAATTCTATTTAGCATTATGAGTTCCAAGAGCTTCTCTTAGCCTAGTCGGTAAAGTCGCAGTTACAAAGCAAGACCATGCTGGAGGTGGCTGGGTTCGATTCCCGGTCCGGGCTAAGAATATTTCGGGTTGGAAAATTTCTCGACTTCCCTATCATTGTACTTGCCACACTTATAACTGTGGAAGTGCATATACAACACTCAATTGCGAAGAAGAAGAAGAGTTTGTAAAGAGTTTCATTGGAGTTTGGTGATCTCCAGCAAGAAGATCAGTGGAGTTTAGCTAAATTCCGGGAAATCCAGAGAAACACAACGAACTTCATTTTCAAGACCTTATTTCTGAAATTGAAGACCATTATAAAACCAACAATAAACCAACAATGTTAATTGGGTTGTAGTTTTGAGAATCTAAGGTAGACTCAGGCGGTCTAGGAGCCGTAGAAGGTTAGGGTAATTTTCAAATGAACAACATCTGAAGTACTATGTTCTGCTCTTCAAATAAGTTTAGAGATCTACACAAAAGTTCGGGAATCTTTGAAATGCTTTTTGGAAACTGCACGGGCTGTTCATAAACTGCGTAGACAGTTTTGTATGGACAAATGTCTACGCAGGGGAAGGGGGGTCAAGAATTCCAGAAAACTGTCTACGTAGTTAAGGAACAGCTCCTTATGTGTTTTTTTAATTGAATTCATTTAATTTATTAAATGAAAAATTGTGAAATTTTACCGAAATCTCAACAGCGGAACAGCAAACAACTTTCTTGGGAGTTTGCTGTTCGAAAAATTACGTTTCAATTATTTCCAACAATTCTCTCAAAGCTCTTGTTAAATTTTTCTAGATAAGCTAAGCATTCTCTATTGTTATTCCTTAAATTTTGGCCAAAACGCTTTAGTATTCTTTTGGAATTTACTCCGCAATTCTCCTCAAATTCTCCTAAGAACTAAATTAAACTTTTCCCATGATTCTGCTTACTATTACTCTCCACAATAACCATGCAATTCTGCACAGATTTCTCCTGAAAATTCCCTAGAATTTCCCTTTAGCATTCTCTAAGTGTTCTTTGAAAATTCGCTTCCACATCATTTTCTTGGAATGCTCCCGTTCATTCAAATATCCTGAAAATATCTTAGGAATTATCAGGGTGACCAGTAAACAAGGAAAACCGGGATAAAGTCGAGAATTCGAGGTCATCGGGAGAATACCGGGAAAAGCCCGTGATAAATCGGGAATCGTCCTCTCTTCAAGAAACATAAGATTTTGGACCTTGAAAAAAAAAATCAAGACCATTGACTAGACTAGATTTTCAGAATACAGTCAATTGGATTGATTGATTGATTTCCCTTACAATCACTTTGAAGAAGTATTAACAAAATTTTAAAATGATTTTCCAAAGTAATTTTGAACAGATTTAGAATGAATTCTTGAGATAAGGTATTTCAGAGAAAATATCCTAGATTAAGATAAACTCTAAAAAGAGTTTTGACTAAAATTCAAAGTCAATTCTAGATAGATCTGGAATTAGGGTGTAACAGCCTTTGTAAACAATGACTTCTCTCGTTGACTTCTAGGAATTGAAGGCACGCCTACACAAACCAACATATCCATCGGGTAGGAGAAGTCTTGCTCTACTCGATGGTGCTGTCGATTTGTCGATTTGTCGATCATCGAGAGAAGTCATTGTTTACAAAAGCTGTTACGCTCTAATTCCAGGTCTATATGATTTGTTTTTGCTTATTGATTTATTTGATAAGGCTCAATTGAATTAACTTTACAGAGCCAAGGATTCTTGTTCACTATACAAAACATCGTAAAACTCTATTTAAAAGGTACAACACAATAAAAATTTTATCTTCCGTTGGCCAATAAGCCTCCTCCATCAGAATTGGATCCGTTTTCTTACAGTTCGTAAAAGTAGCGTAAATTTGTGTTCAGTATGATGCATATAAATGGAGCGTGACATATCATATAATTTTACATTTCTGAGAAATTTCATGCAATGCAGCAAATATTGTATACAAAAGCCCATTGTTGTAAACAACATTGTTTACAAGTTGCTCGGTTGTGTGAAAT